CATATATGTTTTTTTTCACCATTACTTTTTGAAATAGCAAGCAAGATAATTAGAAGAGAAAAAGGTTTTTGTGCAGAATAAAGGATACACAGGATAGATGTGTATAGCGACAATCATCTATACCAAGATCTATGCCTTGGGGAAGAGAGAGCACCCCCCTGAAATGATGGCAGATAGTAGGGATGCACCGCTACCAAGTACCGTACTCGGTACAAGTACAAATACGTTTCCAGCTCCAAGACTAGACTAGAGAAAAATTCAAAAGTTAGGAGGCAGCTGTCATTTGTAAGGAGCACACCGAGCTCCTGGGATTTGTACATCTTTGTTTTAATGTATGATTTTGTTTTTATAAACATATATAAAGGAATGCACCGATACCATTTTTGCAAGTACAAGATCAGTACTGATACTTGTGCGAGTACTCACAGATACAAGTACTGATACATTTTTGATTATTGTCATGTGACAGTTTTTCTAAAACAATACAGATTTATGATTTCAGGACAGTGGTGGAGCGCCAGAGCCAGGTCCCAGCTGCAACCGCTGCAATCCTGGTAGTTCTCATGAAAATGCCAAGTATCGGCACTGGTATCTGAAAAAGTATCGGTGCATCCCTAGCAGATAGCAAAGAAGCTAATGCTTCACTTGCTATCTGCTCTTTTTTTTTTAGTATTCTGACACCTGCTGCTGTCAGAATAAAAAAAATTGAAAGAAAAAAAAAGCTGCATAGGAATGAATAGCTAGATTGCTATTGGCTATAGCAGATGTGGCCACTGTCACCCTGTCATTAACTTCAATGGGCACAGCGGCAGCATTTGAATGGGGACACCTGGAATTCCTGCCGCAGGATTCTGTAGGTTCTTGCTGCAGGAATCCCAGAACACCCTGTGTGAATGTAGCCTTAGACTCATTAAATAAGCAGAAAGCAATGGTAATGTGAAAAGAGCAATATCCCATAGTAACTCGATTTTATATTTAATTTATTTGATTACAGTCAATAGAATCGGTTGTACACCATCTTTGCTCTTAGCACTGATTTGCTGAAAAACAAGTATGTTTATTACTTTATTCTGATTCAGAGGGAAATCCTATCCTTTTGCCGACCTCAGGAACAATGGGCTGCTTTTTTTCCAGGTATTAGTAAGCAAACAGATGATTTCACTGGGAAATTGGTGAGGAGGTAAAAAATGAATATGTAAAGTTGGTTTGCACAAGCAAACACAACAAAGCATATGCCGAGCAGCCAGGTGAGACTGTTCCTTTTAGTATACAGCACAAGGGAATACTTTGATCACATCCACAGCTCGAAGAACAAAGCCCTAGGGTTTTCTGTGTGCCGTTTACTACGCTGCCTCTTCATAAATATTCAGAATATAGTCCAGAAGGCTTGCTTTATTTATTGATTGCTGTAGTAAAATATGCCTGGGCAAACTTATAACAGCAAGTCAAATCAATGTATACTGATATATTATGTAATAAGGCTTGCAGGTTGTAGTTTTATCCTTGTAATAGTTATTACTACATTACTGAGACACAGTTGACTTCTGAAACAACATCAACCTTTTTGCCTTTTGTAAGTAAAAACAGACCAGTGCCATCTACTGCGCAGGACACAAACCGGTATGAGCTAAAAATGATAAAGTAGGCCAGTTTTTTTTGTGTGTTTAAAGTAGAAGCCTACACAGAATTTATTTTGGTTTTGCTAAGAGTAGATGTAAACCCTAACTGAATGACATTTCGTTTGTTAACCACTGTGTATCATGTTTTCACCTTTTTTCAGCATTTGTTACATCTTATTGCTGCTGATCTCCTGCATCCTTTCGCAGCCAATTCCTGTCTGCATGCACTCCAGCATTGGCTGCATGGCATTTTTCAAAACAAATTTTCTAAAGGATAGTGAAAATAGTTGGCCATGCCTGTGTATTGAAATGATAGCCACATCAGAAGCCCATAGGACAGGGTGATGACACCGAAGCACAATTTTGAGGAAAGGGACTGGGTGTTATCGTTGTATAACAGGAAATGCCTTCATGGCAGGGTAATCAGATATTTTTTAATAAAAGCTGTAGATTTAATATTCGAAAATTATTTTAGAATTTAAATTAAGATGTTAAAGCTTATATAAGAGTTTAGTTATTAGGCTTACATATATTTTAAAAGTTTGTATTGCTGTGTACAGGCTGGGGAGATTTGAATGTGCTTTATTTTCCCAGGAAAGAACATAAGGAAATATCAAAGACATGGGGGAAAAAACCTCACACTATCTGAAATTTAAAAAATGTTTTATATATACTTTTTCAGAAAGTTAGAATTCTGCAACCCATTGAAGACATTACATGAGAGTGAAGGATAAAGAATGACAAATTTGGAGAAATTCTTTAGTCAGCAATTTATGAATGTATTCTGGCTCCATTGTGACAGGAACTGAAACATTTGCACATTTCTTTCCCTTATGATTTGACAGTCACCCTTACTTGTCAAACTGGCCAATAGATACTGTTAGAAATTGATCCTAAAGTGGCACTAAACTCAGGAGTTAAATCTTTAAAATGCATTCAAGTACCTTAACTATTAACAAAAATGTAACTTATTTGTATCACTCGGCTGTAGATCCTCAAATCATCTCTGAATTGGTGCTGACACTGTCCTTCCTTCCTTCCTTTTCCAAGCTCACTTCCATGATGGACTACAATCTCAATACAAATTAGCAAACTAAACATGAGATTATAGTCCATCAAGGGAATGAGCTTGGAGCAGTGGCTACTCTACAACACACACAGGGACCATGGGGAACAAAAGTAGCCACCCTCCAGAAGGAAGGACAGTGTCAGCATGAATTCAGAGATGATTGGAGGATCTGCAGCTGAGTGATATACAAATAGGATACATTTTTGTTAGTAGTTAAGATACTTGAATGCATTTTTAAGTTTACCTTCTGAGTGTAATGTCACTTTAAAGGAGGAGGGAATGGATGCAAATGCCACCAAAGAAAATGACTGAAATACTAGCGGGTTTATCTATCAAACTTCCTATACTGCTCACTGCCATCTAGGGGCACTAGTGCTGTGTGAACAATATCTGCCCAGTGCAGTTTTTGTAAATAAACCCGCAAATATTCGGAATAACTCCAAGCAAAGTAGAAATCTCCATTTAGACTATGTATAAAAAACAGAAATGTATTCAACATTTTCCTTGTTACATTGAATTATCTGTAATCCTTCTTTGTATCATATTTCCACCATTGTCTGCAGAGAAGCAGAGTACCTGCATCGGTTATTGAAATGATAAAAGGACTGTGAATGATAACAATTCAAATCTTTCATTTTTCAAATCTGTAGTCTCTCTGTGCATTCCATTGGCATTTCAGTGACAGCTATTCAGAGTCACATGTTTCAGGTGTTGGGATATAGTAGGTGAGGAGACAAAGTACATAGGGAAACAATTGCATATTCAGAAAATGTGGTCTCGCTCCTCTGGCTACAAGTAGCCATAAAGCATGGTGGATACAGGACCACAGACTGGTAGCATTGGATACAATATTGTATAAGTAGTAAGTCAAAATGCCAGTTTGAAAATAAATTTTTAAGAGTTCTTCTTTAAGCTTCAGCTATTTCACATCTAGTAGTATTTTTTTTTTTTATTTCTTCCTAACATCATGTACCTAACTGCAGAAACCCGCCGCATTTAATTATATTATTACAATGCTTAGTCATATTTCTGTATGTGCTGCTGTTATTAAACTTTACAAATCCGGTAGACGCTATTGATCTGCCATTTATATTTTGCATTCTGCTACTGCGGAGTTTTAAGCTTCCCCAGCAGGCACAAGGCTGCAATAATACATGTAAATAATGCAATTAATCTCTGTACATGTAAGCTATGTTTCTACAGACTCCCCACTTTTGCTGGATCGGTACTGGTTTAAGCTAGTTGAGTTTCATTTTTAGATGCCATAGTAATAGAAAGAGTCTTTTGGTGCTGAATTAAATATAATACATTACTTTGGCTGTGCTAGATTTGTTATTTTAAGAATGTGACATTAATGTTTAATTTTATAAATTAAAATAAGGCCACAATGAATCTGCATTTATCATATTTCCTTGTACCTACTATCATGTTTTTTCTTACTATTCCATGATATGTGAGTATGAACTTATTTGCCAATATGTTTTTGTATTCAATAAAGCGTATTGCTGAATATAGTGTCTACAGCAGAACTCCAACTATTTTTTTTATTTCTGACGCAGGGAAGAATTAAAATTGCTATCACATTTTAATTTCTGTCTGTGGAGTGAGATTTACCCTCGCTTATTTCTAACCCTTTCTCCCTGTATTAAAAATGTGTTTGGTGCGTGCCCCATCGGAGACATTTCCTATCTTTTCCTGTCCTGACAAAAAGGAAGGAAAATCTCCCCAAAAGGGACCCAGCTGACAATGAAAACCTGACAGAGGCTCTAGCTGTATTCTGCTCTATCTAAAATAAAAAACAGGTTTTAGTTGGAGTTGGGCTTTAAAGCTACTCTGCCATGTTTAGAATAAATCAAGATTAAAGGTTCTTGCAGTAGAAGAGCATTTATGTATGACTTCTCCAGAGCCCGTGTTTAATACCTTCCTGCTATTCCAGAAAATAAGCTTCTGTAAGCCACTTTGGTATGCTACACTTCTGGGAATGTTGGATGCCTGTGTGCCCCACTACATGCCGTGGTTCTGTTCTTCGACTTTGTCTATAGGATACTGTAATATTAAAGTACCCTCCCCTCCTGGGACATCTGGGAGCCACAGCCTGCACAGGGTGCATAGCCTCCTCCAGTGTGGATCCCTGGGCTTCAGCTGTCTCAGGGTAGCTGGGGGCCATTTTAATATTACAGAAAACTTCAACTAAATGTTTAAATTAAAGGCATTATAATGGCCTTTCAAGCTACCTTAGAAAGAATTGTAAAATGCTTATACAATACAGATAACAAATAGCTAACATAATGTACTTTTTGTTCTTTTTCTAGATTTTGGCAATTATATCAATCCTGTTCATCGTGCTTTCAACCATTGCATTATCACTGAACACTCTACCAGACTTGCAAGAACTAGATGAGTTTGGACAACTAAATGACAACCCACAGCTTGCACATGTTGAAGCTGTATGCATAGCTTGGTTCACAATGGAATATCTCCTGCGCTTTCTTTCATCCCCAAACAAATGGAAGTTTTTTAAGGGGCCACTAAACATTATAGATTTGTTGGCTATTTTGCCATATTATGTTACAATTTTCCTAACAGAGTCCAACAAAAGTGTGCTTCAGTTTCAGAATGTTCGTCGTGTTGTTCAGATATTCAGAATTATGAGGATATTGCGAATTCTCAAACTCGCCAGACATTCAACAGGTCTTCAGTCACTGGGATTCACACTTAGGAGAAGTTACAATGAGCTGGGATTACTGATATTATTTTTAGCCATGGGTATAATGATATTTTCTAGCTTGGTATTTTTTGCTGAGAAGGATGAAGATGCTACAAAATTTACAAGTATACCAGCATCATTTTGGTGGGCTACCATAACCATGACCACCGTGGGCTACGGAGACATCTATCCAAAGACACTACTTGGCAAAATAGTTGGGGGTCTCTGCTGCATTGCTGGAGTTTTAGTGATTGCACTGCCTATTCCAATCATAGTAAACAATTTCTCAGAGTTTTACAAAGAGCAGAAGAGGCAAGAAAAGGCAATTAAGAGGAGAGAAGCACTTGAAAGAGCAAAAAGGAATGGAAGTATTGTTTCCATGAATCTGAAAGATGCATTTGCTCGCAGCATGGAATTGATCGATATCGTTGTAGATAAGTCTGCGGACGGAACTGATAAAGTAGAGAAAGCTAATGATAATCATTTGTCCCCAAGTCGATGGAAATGGGCACGAAGGACAATGTCAGAGACAAGTTCAAATAAATCATTTGACAATAAATATCAGGAGGTCAGTCAAAATGACTCTCAGGAACTATTAAACAATTCTTCATCCAGCCCACAGCATCTCAGTGCCCAGAAACTAGAGGAGCTGTACAATGAGATCACAAAAGCACAGTCACATCCTAGTGTGGATTCTTCATATCATGAGCAATCTGTCATCCCTCCTGCATATGAGGAGGAAATAGAAATGCTGGACGTGTCAGCAAAGAGGGACCAGCTATCAGTTGCCCCAAAAGATATTATTACGGATATGAGAAGTGTATCAAGCATTGACAGTTTTACCAGTTGTGCAACAGATTTCACAGAAGCTGAACGATCCCCCCTTACACCATTTCCTGGAAGTAACCTTGAAATTAGGTTCCCTTCATACACCGTGCCTGAAGAAGGCAGCCATGAAGTTAAAGTGTCCCAATTCTTGCCACGTTCCAAATACACAGGTTTTGCTCCAAAAGATGTCACATTTGAGTATAAGTTGTCAGAAACTTCCGGAACCCCAAAAATACTTCTGCAAGAACAGATCAATAATGAGGTAGAAGATGAACAGGGTTCCATGAAGGGAAATAACCCTGTAAGATCAAGATCTCTGAGAGTAAATTCAAAGCAATCCAAAAGCAGTGCTCTACAAAATCCCGCAAGTATTACTAGTACCTTGCGGACAAACACATTAGAACACCCACTGTACACTCATCTTCAACTAAGCACACTTTTTTTGCAAGACTATTCTTCCTCAGAGGAACCGATACTGCCAAAAGCTCACTCACCAGGTGGACTTGCAAGACCTCTCATATCACCTTCTCGAAATCCCAAACTGTTTTCACTTTCTTCAAAGAAGAGAAGCAGCTTTACAGAAATAGACACAGAAGATGATGACTTCATGCAGGTATGTGGCTCAAAGCATGATACTCAGGAGGACATACAAACTAACTGCATTGAGGAGCAGAATGAAGGAACCAGTGTACCCACTGACACTGATACAGTCTCTTTGCAGAAAAATATCAATCAAAACTGTACTCAGGACATTTACATGGCAGGAGAGGACGTTAAGCAGGACAATAATCAGGAGGAAAGCAAAGTAGAAAATCATCTATTTGTCCCAGAAATTCACTCAGAGACTGGAGAAACAGGTTATTGTCAGACACGTGAGACCAGCATGTGACTAGTTGCAAAAGCAATAAAGACTTTTTTTCTTAAAAGCACTAAGGTTGGTAATGCCTGTGAACGCAAAAGGAAAAGCCTCAAAGACATCCATAAACTAATAATTTTGCATGGCATGAAGAACTGCTTAGTTAAATAGTTCAGGAACTACCTTTTGTAACAAAATATATAATGACTCAGCAGCAGTGTGTAATAATGAAAGCCCTTCCTAAGAGCCAGTGTATTGCAAAGCCTGACATTCTTGATCCTTTAATCCATGACTGTAGATGTGTTTTGGAGCGTTTAAAAGAAATGTAGCGTTCGAAAGGAAGGATTAAGTGTCAATGCATGCATTAAAAAATAAAAAAACAGGTGGAAATGAGGTGCTGTAAGCTTTAAGGAAGCCTATATGTATATTAGCTCAAAGATGGAGTATAGATAATCAAGATACATACATGGAACCCAACCATTGGGACACAGGTACTTCCTTCACAGTACATTGCTTGGAGGACTTGTACAGACTTACATTATGTTGCAAAACTGCAACCTTACTTTTAGCTGGTCTGGTGTTGCAGAGGTTGGCTTTACAACACATTGGATAATTACGTGTTTTGCAAGGCTTACCAACACTGGAATCGTTATGCAACTGAAGTAAAATGTTTTCTGTTAAGAGGTCTTTGTTGGTTTCAATTAAGAGGATATTTTTTATTTTTGTGTGCTATAATTCACTGCAGATTTTTGCTGTGCATAAGATTGTTTTTTTGCATTTCTTATTAAAAAATAATAAAGTTAAAAAAAAAAAACAGGCAAGATTTAACAACCACAAATACTAGTGTGAAGACTGATGTTTAATGTGTTAACTTGCCAAAAATGTTGTCAATGATAATGTCCCACTGTTGATTACCCAAAGTACAGTAATTGATCGCCACGTAAATAGTGCCAATTGCCATGAGTTTGCAATATACATGATTAATGTCCTACTGTGTATTATTTTCCAGTCGATATTTTTCCTTTATGATCGTGGATGAGTGACTAATCAGGTTCAACACTTCCACACATATTTTATTACCAATAAAGACCACTTATGTCTGGCACATTCCAACAACTTATTGCATCTTTACATTGTATCTTCATTACATCAAAGACAGAAGTTCAATATGGTATGGCTAATCATGAAGGAATGGCAAAACAATTTTCTCTAAGGGTGTAGATCTTACTTTAGGTGAATTTAATTAGGAAACCTAAGCAGTGTTTTAATGTTAAATTACTTATAAAGACATAAATGGAATGCTAAGACACCACTCAAAATATCATCTTACATGATGTATAACTGATATATTATCATAGTAAAGGGAACTTTAAGCACAAAATATTTTTTACTGTAACTTAGGCTATACAAAATACTCCATTCTAATGAAAAAGCAGGATGTTCTTATAAAGTGTGGAGCTGTTAAACCAAAAAAATACCATCTTTTATTTACTTTTTGCC